CTTTGTAGGATCAAACGTCATTGGCATTGGCTATCTATTTATACTTTTATATTTGCTGTCCTATGTCCACTTCCGGTTTTATAGCCGTGTGTAATTTGAAACTTTGATGACTTATATCTCTTGATCTTGAACTTTTTAGACCTTCTCCTTTACAAGATCAAAGGTCATTGGCCTTGGCTATCTGCTGATACTTTCATTTGTGAGGTTTGGCGTCTACTTCCGGTATTAGAATCTTTTAAATAATGAAAATTTCTCAACTTCAGACTGTTCTTGCACTTGACCTAATTATCGTCGAAAGTTGATTTTTTCAGGGTCTCTAGCAAATTGCTACATTTGCAAAGTCCCAATCTATGCCGATTCTGGTCACAGCATAGCAAAACTGCATATGTCACACATTAACTGTCATCATTATCTGTCATTTAATGCTTGTCGTTGTTGTTTAATGTAAAATCACGTATTTTCACTCAACCTGAAATGACGTAGGACGAAGCCATTTTCGAATTACTGCTCTAATTCTAAATCAATTTTTGTTTTGTTCATTACTTTTTAGTAATGGCTAAAGGATAGCACTTTAAAATATATCAAATTTTGACTTTTGTAGCTGACTTTTTGTTTTTCTATTACTTCCGGTTTTGACGTCATCTGCTTCTAAAGTTCAAATTTCAACTTCCGGCATTTAATAGATATTTGAAAAAGTCTTTTGTTGCGAAACGTTAACTTCCAGTTCTACAACCATTTGATTAACTCTGTGACCTAATTAACATACGGCAAAATTTCTTTTACATTCTTAAAGTACACGTTCTCTTCTCTTTGATGATATATCCCACTTGGTATTTTGATCAAAATTGCGCTTTTTAAAATTTGAAAATTGTGTACCGCCTTCTACAGTAACTGTGCGTAAATTGGTTTTTGCCGTATAAACTCAAGTCTCTAAGATAAAACAACGAATATCCCATGACGTAATGAATGTAGATGTTTGAATTTTGGGGTGGGCGTGGCACGACCGGGTTAGATTGACATTTATCTAACCCGATTGAAATTTGTTGTATCTCGCAAAGTATGTGATTGTCAACCTTTTTTAATCTTTGCATCAAAATAGGACACTAATTTGGTCAGTTCCTGATAAAGAGACGGTTCTCTGGGCTTAATATTTCAAAAAAAGGAATAGGTTTAATAATTTACAAAAATTTATTTTTTGACTTTTTACTTGAATGACCTTCTCCTTTGGTCAAAGGTTATTGATCTAAGATGTCCATTCATACTTTGATCTTTGATGCCCGACATATACTTCCCCTCTTACAAGCGTTCAATTTTCAAAACTTTTAAGGCTCATATCTTTTATTTGACCTTTGTTGACCTCTTGACCAGAACAAAAGTTATTGTGTTTGACGAGACCTTCCCAAAACTTTTTTCATTTCTGTTATTTGCTATTTGTACTTTTAATTTTACAGCTATTTGAAAATACCGAATGGTATCAAATTCACGCGCCTTTTCACCACCGAACGTTCAACGGTTTAAACGATTTTGTTACTACTGAATGGTTACATGCTTTACCTTTCGATTAGAAATCCCACTGTGACTTTAAATGCACCGATGCATCATCTAAAATACGCACTGCGTGGGTACCGTCCACGGTTTTAGTTATGGGACTTTGCTAGTTTGTTATCAAAATGTCAATCTTTTTCTTTCTCCGTTTTTACACACCTTCTTGTGCTTAGTCTACAGTAGTTGCAACAACCATTCAACATTCACGATCCTTAGATATAGGCAACGATGTGTATAGATATAAAATGGAACATTTTGCAAAACCTGAAGTCCCACAGTTCAATATGTGCAAAACTTTAAAATCGGCTCTAGAATTCGCATTTTTGAGTCGATGTTCTTTCGGTTTGCATAGTTGGAATCTACTGGCAAAATCTGATATGATAGCACTTTAAAAATTTCAAAATTCGAAAATTTGTCTTGCCAGTTCAAGAAAGCGAACAAAATTGTATAGTCAATTTTTTTTTATTGTACTTCCGGTTTCAATGGAAAATTGATACTCACTTCCGGTTGAACTACTTCCGGTGCAATTAATTTAGTGCGACGAAACTTATATAAATCGATAGCCAATGTTATGACAAAAAAAATGATACGATTTTTATTTAGACATAACATGGCTTATCCGATTTGAATGATTTTAGTGTCAAATGAAAGAAGAAAAACAGTGACATTAAGAAGTCGTTTTTGGATTCTTGATTTTGCTTTTTTGCAACTTCCATTTGAATTCTTTCAATGTTTGAAGGGTCATATCTCGTGACCTTGACCTTTGATGACATTGGCCTTTAACGTGTCAAAGGTCATTGACCTTGGCTAGCAGTTGATACTGTAACATTTGACCTCAGACATGTACGTTTTATAGCTGTCCGAAAACAGCCAAATTCGCAACCTTGGACTGCTCTAGCATGTGATCTAATTAACCTAGAGGGTTAATTTTTTAGGATTCTTAATGTGCTTTTCATGCTCTTTCTAGTGATATCTTACAATCGTTTTTTTTTAAGCAAAATTGAACTTCGTGATTTTTTCAAATTTGATTGTTTTTTTTTTACAATATATGTGTCTCTTGAGCTTGGTGTATCTATATATTTTGACCTATTTGATGTAGAAGCTTGGAATTTAGAACACAACTAAAATGTTGAATGTGAATGCACCTATAACAAAAAAGGTTGGTGTGGCACATCCGGGTTGAATTACTAATTGTTTACATTTTGGGGCAGGGGCATAACTCGCATAGGATACATTTGTTTAAAAGGAGGACTTTGCACACAATAACCTCATCCTTTTGGCCAGTTTGTGTTAACGGCTCAGTTTTTTCGGCTTTATAGTTCCAGAAAAGGAATTTCAATTTTCGATTTTGACCTTTGTTGACCTATATATTGTGACCTGTATGATATAGAAGCTTGAAATTTGAAGCACAACATAACATTTAGAATATCAATCAACCGGTGCCAAAAAGTTGAGGTGGGCGTGTCACATCATTATTTCATTATTGACATAGGCATAAGTCACACAAACTACATTTGTTCAAAATGTAACTTTACATACAATTACCTAATGTTTTGAGCCACTTTGTCTTAGAAGTTCAGTTGTTTCAGCTTCATAGTTCAAGAAAAGCAACAGGTTTTGGAAATTCAAAATTTGCATTTTTGACCTTGGCCTTGAGTTTTGTAGGATCAAACGTCATTGGCATTGGAACTCTATTTATAATTTCATATTTGCTGTCCTATGTCAACTTCCGGTTTTATAGTATAATTTGGAATTTTGATGACTTATATCTCGTGATACCTTTTTAGACCAACTTCTTTACAAGATCAAAGTTAATTGACCTTGACTATCTGCTAATACTTTCATTTGTGAGGTCTGACGTCTACTTCCAGTATTAGAATCTTCTAAAAAATGAAAATTTCTCAACTTTAGACTGCTCTTGCACTTGACCTAATTATCGTCGAAGGTTGATTTTTTCAGGGTATTTTAATTGCAAATTGCTACATTTGCAAAGTCCCTCTCTGTGCCACGTGTGGCTCTAATTTTTTTTGTATTTAATTTTTCTCAGAATTTAAAAAAAAACTTTTTTTCGACTACTACGATGGGTAGAGGCCAAATCATTAATCCAGATTAATCAGGTACATTTTACAAAATTTTCCGGAGATGGCCGAAAATGACCTACTTTTTTCCCCAAAACTTCTTTACAAGATTTTCCGGAATTTATTCAAGGCCTCCAACGTAAGGGCAATAAACAACTAGCCCGTTCTTCCCATTCCACGTTCAGATACATAGATGACATTTTGACACTTAATAACGCCCCTTTTTTTCGAGACTTTGTTGATAAAACTTTAGAGTCATTGAGATTATTCTAATGTCCATTTATCCAATTATTCTATTTTGGCTATCTGCTTACCAATTATACATGTATTATCATTTTGAATTAATGTCTTAATTAACTATAATTATATATATCATTCCGAAGGAAAGTATGATATACAAATGAAACGCCAAGTAGGGTAAGCACAGTTTTGAATATACTTTTGTTTATGCATAATATTCTATATATTTATTTAAAGCTGTGGTTTTCTTCATTATAATTCTGTTCGAATTTTAATTTGTAAAATTGGCAAGAGGTCGAGTTTTGACATTGAAATAGCTGAAGCAGAGTTACTTGACACATAGACTTTAAACTTCACTTAAGAAATTGTATGATCGTTATATTCTTGACAAATATTACAATTGCATCTTGGCTGATTTGTTTGGTCAGGCATGGATGTTGACCTGTATAGTAGCGGCGGGTGTCGCGCAAAGCAGACCGTGCCTACACTTTTCGAAAGAGGTGATGGTACCTTTCTTTTAGAGTAGTCGACAACTACACAATTTTTACTCTCGATATTGCCATACTTTGGACGAGATTTTGATTGTCTTTTGAGAATTTTCTAGGTTCTTCATAACTTCCTGCCAAAGATCATTTTGCCATATGGCAAAAGCTTATCAATTTGTACTTTGACTTCCACAAGCTTCACAATTTAACTAAAACATCTGTGGCTAGATTTCCATGACAAACCTCGATGTTTGATTAAGGTATAATACTTTTGGCTTTTATTATGCTCTGAAAAATTGGTTATTTGCTTATCTTGTTTCAGTTCTAATTTACAAATTAAAATTCGAACAGAATTATAATGAAGAAAACCACAGCTTTAAATACATATATAGAATATTATGCATAAACAAAAGTATATTCAAAACTGTGCTTACCCTACTTGGCGTTTCATTTGTATATCATACTTTCCTTCGGAATGATATATATAATTATAGTTAATTAAGACATTAATTCAAAATGATAATACATGTATAATTGGTAAGCAGATAGCCAAAATAGAATAATTGGATAAATGGACATTAGAATAATCTCAATGACTCTAAAGTTACTATATTCACACCATTTATGTTTCAATCACTAACAAGTTAGTTGTAAAACGTCTTAAAGTAGAGCCTATGATTGACAAATGTCACCAGTGATTTAATATACGGTTGATTCGGTTTACTCAGTAATGTTGACGATCATATTATCATTGTTATTCGTTTTTTGTTGTATTATGTATACTATTGTATGCATTGTTAATCCTTATGTAGATTGGTGATGAGGTAGACCAAGTGTCCTTGGGAGAAAAATCGAAGAATATAACCTCATTTAAGTAAGATTCAGCCTTGGGCAGTTTTCAACCAAGCTATTTATTCACTAAATTATGATTAAGTCATTTTACTGATATTACATATCATTTTTTACAGTAGATGTATGGATTCTACCGGAAGAAGAATGAACATACCGAAATGCAATAATCTAAGCGTGGATTTGTGTGGTGAGGTCGAATATAGGCATTGCAAAATTATTTGTATGAGTTTTCCTATGTAGGAGTTCGACATCTCTTGAAATCAGGGTTTCGTATTTCACAATTTGTATTGAAATGAATAATATTCATATTATATATATCATGGCTATATTATAGCCAAGATAATATTCAAAATCAGAACATTTCTTGGTAGACGAGTGGTTATAGCGATAACTAGATATTGGTAGCATGTTATTTTGGTTTTGGTATCAATTTATCTTGCGAAATTTAAGATGAATTAAAACTTGCATAAACATAGGTGGCTTTTCTAAGAATCATTAAGTGGGGGGGGGGGGGCCTTTTCTAAAAGGCAGGGATCCCAGTATGGAAAAGTTCAGCTGAGGGTCAAAAATGGCACATTCTCCCATGTGGGGATCCGAGGGAGATTTTACCATTTTAAAATGCATTGGACCAAAATCTTAGTTTTTTATTGACTTATCCCGCGGAAATCTAAACATAAGAAAACTACATGCTAAAAATATTCGGCAGTTCGATCTCACTGGTGTAGGTGATCTTAATATCGGTAAGAGCATCATGTTTCTACCACTTTGATGTTAGTATTTAAATAAAACCCACTGTAAAAACCAATTTGCGGCATCTATGATACTTTTTCAATCCAAATTCTATGACTGGTTCTCCGAAATAAAACAATAAGTTTCGGGTGTTGTCACTCTCAGGTCGTTAATACATACATTAGTACACTGGAGTATTGGCATCCTGGAAGTGACGACAGTTTACATTTGTAAAATACTTTGCAATTGTTAGGGAACCACAGGCTGGAGTAAAATTATAAAACAGTCGGCTAATATGGCACATATTTAGACGACTAAATTATTAATCAATATCGAGTTACAGCATTCCTTTCAAGACCTTTCTTTCTTTGTTAGAATGCTAATTAATCTGTTGTAAGATGGATTTTTCTGGCTATTTCTGCCAATTCTGTTTACAGTATTATTAATTTCTTTGTAGGAAACATTTTATATTTTAGTATGCTGTCCTATAAGACCAAGATACTGTTATGAAAAACCTCGGCCAGTGATCAGGAGGTAAGGTTACACCGAACCTTTGCATTTTGGAATATCGACTTTAATAGCGCGATGATGTTTATTTTGACACACATTATTTTAAATGCGACGTGACCGCATCGA